GCTCCCAGCCCCAGCTCCTGGCCCTGCACAGACCCCCCAACAATCCCAGCCTGGGCAGCCCTGGCAGCGCTGTCCAAACACTCCTGGAGCTCTGGGGCCGTGCCCGTTCCCTGGGGAGCCTGGGCAGTGCCAGCCCCTCTGGGGGAGGGAAGAACCTTTGCTGACATCCAGCCTGACCCTCCCTGGCACAGCTCCAGCCATTCCTGGATCCTGTCCCTGCTCACCAGGAACATTTTCCAGCACTGCCAGAACCCACTTTGCTTGGGAGAAGAGGAGGGCAGGGCTGGGACATTCCCAGTTATCCCTGGGAGGCAGTGAGGGTGGGACAGGGACACAGCTGGCACAGCTGGAGGCTCGGGGACCCTCACCTGTACTTGAGGGGGAACATGAGAGCCAGGAGGGCCCGGCAGGCGTCCGTCAGCCTCTGGTAGCTGCTGGAGAGGAACAGGATCTTGTGCTCGGTCAGGGCAGCACAGAACAGGAACAGCACGTTGGTGATGCCTGGGCAGGGCACAGCAGGGGCTCAGGAATTGGGGGAATCCCTCTGACAGCCCTCAGAGACCCCTGACCCCACCCCTCATCCCTGCATCCTGCCCCGGGGAGGAGCTCAGCATCCCCCAAAGAGCCACGCCTGGTTCTGGTCACTCCAGGGGTGCTGCCCCTTCCTGGAGATGCTCTGTCCCTCCTGGTGGCCATTCCTGGGGGGCACAGGGTGGCCATTCCTGGGGGTACAAGTCCAGTGGCAGCCCTGGGCTGCTCCTCCAAACCCCAGCCCCAATCCCACCCTCCTGGAACAGGGATGGCCCAGTGGGGCCAGGGCGGCTCAGAGCTCGAGCAGGAGGTGACCCAGGGACCCTGGGTGCCCCGGGGGCAGGGTGGGGACACACGGGGACAGGGTGGGGACACTCTCACCCAGCTGGCGGAAGAGCAGGGCCACGCTGCAGCTGCTGACGGGCAGCGAGTCATTGATGGGGGTCTGGATCACCTGCCTGTCCCCTGCTCCCAGAGAGATCGTCCTCTGCAAGGCAACACACACCTGGTCACCAGGGCCACCCACGCAGGGACTGGCACAGGCCCCCCCGGGCACAGGGCCAGGGCCACCGTGCCCCAGCACAACCCCCTCTGCTGCGGGAAGAGGGAAAGGAAAAGGGAAGGAGGAAAAGGAAAAGGGAAAGAGAGAAGAAGATGCTGCCACAGCACCCACGGGGTGCTCGAGTGGGTCCCTGGGCTGAGGGGAAGGAGGCACCTCCTGCAGTGTCCCCACGGCCCCAGGACCCACACAGAGGGGTGGGGGACAGTGGCTCTACAGGACACGAGGCTCCCCAGGATTTGTGGGATCTCCAGGACGAGGGGTCCCCAGAACTCAGTGGGTCTCTGGGACACGAGGGCCCTCTGGAACTCGAGGGGAGTTTGAGCCTCTCCTGGAGCCTTGGAGCTGAGGGAGCAGCTCCCCTGTCCCAGCCTGGCTGTGCCCAGGAGCAGCCCCAGCTCTGCAGCCTCTCCAGGGAAGGAATACCCTGAGGAATATCCTGGACACCCCCGGCACATTCCCAGGGACACTCACACAGCCCCAGGCTGCCTCCAGACCCCTCTCCTGCTCTTTCCACTCCTCTCCAGGGAAAAGCTGCAAGAGCAGAGCTCCCACTGCAGCCACCTCCTGGCCAGAGCTCCCAGCTCCCAAAATCCACTGCTGAGCACAGCCAGACCCCTGAGCTGGGCTGTCACAACCCCAGGGGGACACCCAGAGAGGGATTCGGCCCTTCCCAGAGACCAGGGACACACAGGGACCTGAGAGACCACCAGGACCTGGGGCTGGGCCACAGCAATTAACAGAGAGGCTGCTAATGAGGGGACAGACCCAGAACAGGGACAGAAAAGGTGGAGAAAAGAAGGTGGGAAAGAAAAGGAGTTCGTACCACGGCTTCATCCTCCACGTCAGGCTGAGGTGGGACAGACAGAGAGCACAGTCAGTTAGGACACACAGACAGGGACAGAGGGGACAGAGGGGACACCGACACCAGCAGGGACAGCGGGACAGGAGCCCACAGACACAGAGAGGGACAATGGGACAGGAGCCCACAGACACACACACGGACACAGAGGGACAGCAATGCCTACAGCACTGGGAAGGAGCACTGCACACAGCAGGAGAGCAGGAAAACCACGGGAAGGTCAGTGCCAGCACCAAAGTGTCCCCCCTGTCACCCAGTCCCCGTTCCCACGGCACAGAGCCACCCTGGCCCAGCTGGGGGCACGGATCCGTGCCAAGCTCAGCGAGCCATGGTGGCAGCAGGAGCCGTCCTGCTCCTGGTGCTGCCGGGAGGGGCCGGATCCGGGCAGATCCCACGGGCAGGGACTGCAAACCCGGGAGCCTGGCACGGCCCTGGCATGGGCAGCACCTCGCTCTGCTCCCTCAACGGGCCTGGCTCCACAAATCCCAGGAGCACCTGCAGCACCCTGGGCGCCACAGGGAGCTGTCCCAGTGCCCTCTGTGCTGTCCCAGTGCCCCACAGTGCTGTCCCAGTGCCCCACGGTGCTGTCCCAGTGCCCTCTGTGCTGTCCCAGTGCCCCCCAGCACCCACGTGAGATGCTGCTCAAGCCCCTGTGCTCCCTGCCAGGGCAGCAGCAGCCAGGCCACGGAAGCTGCAGCAGGAGCTCCTTGGCTCACTGAGGATCTGAGTGGGGTTTGTGCTTGGAAGCACTGGGGAAGGCAGCAGAGCCTGCCCACGGGGCCCACTGGGCTCTGCCAGCGTGGGGAGCAGGACTGGGGGGGACAGAGTGAGGACAGGGACAGGGACAGGAGAGCAGGACACCCACCTGTGCTCCCCCCGTGATGGGGATGGTGCAGGTCAGCAGGTTCCCAATGACGTTCTCCAGGGACACGCTCAGCCCGTCCACGTAGATGGTGTAGATGAGCCCCAGGCTGTTCTGGAGAGGGGAGCAGAGCAGGGATGAGCAGCTGGGGACACTCCCAGGGCTTGTCCCTGGCCACAAACACACCTGGCAATGCCAGCTCCAGGTGTGCCTCGTCCCCAGGGATGGGATATTCCAGGAGCAGGTCCCCATCCTGCAGCCACCCCAGCAGAGCAGCAGATGTGTCCCCAGGGTCACAGCTCCATGGCAGCAGCTGGGCTGCTCCAGCCTCCCAGCACTCCCAGCCCCACACAGGCCCCAAGGAAGGGATGGGAGGAGATCCTTTCCCAGATCCCACCCAAAATTCGGGTGATGCCCCTGATGGCACGCTGGGCTCTGGTCAGCCCTGAGTCCCTTCCCACAAAAACTGCCCATTCCAACTGGGAAGCAACAACAGCCCCAGCTCAGAGGGAGTCTGGAGGCACCAGCACCAGCCCTCAAGACAAGCTGGGAATGAGTGATTTGAGGAATTTGTGTTCCAGGCACCCTCGGGGTGTTGTTTTCCAACCACCTCCCCATGGCAGGGAGGAAAAGGGAAAACACAAACGCTGGGATTTGGAGAGCAGGGCCAGGCAGAGTCTGGCACAATGGAATGGTGAGGGAAGAGCAGGATAAAACCCTGGAATAATGAGGGAAGATCAAGCTCAGATCCCTGGGCACTGGAATGAGGAGCTGGGAACTGTTTGTGTTCAGCTGCCAGGACACCTCTGTCTTTGGAAACAGGTGAGGTGTCCCTGTCCCCTGGAGCTGCCCCAGATCCTGTATTTCAGGGAACTCCCACTCCACAGAAAGCCAGGGACACCTCCCACTGTCCCAATGTCCAGCCTGGCCTTGGGCACTGCCAGGGATGCAGGGGCAGCCACAGCTGCTCTGGCAATTCCAGCCCAGCCAGCAATTCCCAATTCCCCAGATCCCAGCCAGCCCTGCCCTCTGGCAGTGGGAGCCATTCCCTGTGTGCTGTCCCTCCTTGTCCCCAGTCCCTGTGCAGCTCTCCTGGAGCCCCTCCAGGCCCTGCCAGGGGCTCGGAGCTCTCCCTGGAGCATTTCCCTCTCCAGGCTGGACGCTCCCAGCCCCATCCCCATGGATACAATCCACAGAGCTCCCAGCCCTCCCCAGGCTCACAATGCAGCACCTTTGGAGGCCGCAGAGCTGGCACAGACAGTGCTGCAGGAACTGCAGGAACGGGCTGTTCCTCACGGCTCGGGGCTGGTGCCTGCCCCGTGCCCCAGCCCCAGAGCTCCAGGGTGCCAAGGGCAGGGCAGGGCAGGGCCAGGCTCCCCCGGGGCTGTGCCAGCCCCTTCCCACCCCCACGGGCAGCAGTTTCCCAGCACAGCTGCCCTGTCCCCGAGCAGCTCACCCGGAACACCTCGGCGTGGTCCAGCCGAGACACCAGCACCAGGCTCTTGGGAGCAAACAGCTGGGCAGGCTGCACGGGGGACGAGGCCTCCTCCTCCTCCTCCTCACCCTCACCATTCCTGGAGTGGCTCTGGGGCTGAGGAGACACAAACCAGCCTGGGTGAGGGGCTAAAGGATGCTCTTGCCTGTCCCAAGCCGCCAGTGCCAGGCTCTGGATTCTTGTGGCACAGGGAGAGCAGGAACCCTGCCAGAGCCAAAAGCAGCTGGATCCTTCCCAGTCAGTGCTGCCAGCCCCTGTCCCCATGTCCCTGTGCCCTCCGTCCCCCTGTCCCTATTTCCCCATCCCCCTGTCCCCTTGTCCTCATGTCTCCCTGTGTCCCCATGTCCACTGTCCCCGTGTCCCCCTGTCCCCATCCCCTATCCCCATGTCTCCCTGTCCCCTTGTTCCCCCATGTCTGTGTCCCCCTGTCCCCCTATCGCCCTGTCCCCCATCCCCGTGTCCCCTATCCCCGTGTCCCACCGTGTCCCCGTGTCCCCGTGTCCCCGCGCGGGTACCTGCGGGCTCTCCACAGCCTCCCAGAAGGTGAAGCAGGCACAGTAGTGCCGCTCGGAGTTGATGTCGGTCAGCACGGCCACGAAGAACGTGGGTGGGTTCCTCTCGGGGAACAGCTGCCACCCGCTGGGCTGGCAGAACTGCAGGGGGACAGCAGCGGGCTCGGGGGGCTGCCAGCCCCAGCCGCACCCAGCCCGGCCCCACATGGGCCGTGCTCCACGGGCCGGGGGCACGGAGAGCCCCCCGGGACCGCCCAGCCCCGCTGGATGGGCTCTTTGGGAATTCCCAAATCCCCTCTGTGGGGAACCAGTGCATCCCCTCCTGTGCATGCACAGCGACAGCAGGAGCTGCCTGGACAACCCTGGGATGGGACAATGGGATAATGGGATGGGACAATGGGATGGGACAATGGGATAATGGGATGGGACAGCCCGGCCAGGCAGGAGCCTCCCAGTTCCTGGGGAAGCTCCCCCCATGGAACAGAGACCCCAAACTCTGCACAGTCCCATAGAACAGAGACCCCAAACTCTGCACAGCCCCCAGACCCCTTCCATGGAGCAGAGACCCCACACCCCCAGCCCACCCCACGCACACAGAGCCCAGAAGGAAAGGGGACAGGAGGGACACGGGCTCTGGAGTGGCTCCAGGAGGTGGCACCACTCCCCTGGCACACACAGCGGCCCGGCTGTGCCGCTGTCACCGTCAGAAATATTTCTGTTGGGAATTGCCACTGGACACTGCACACAGCCAGGAGCTCCAAATTCCACCTCCCTGCACACCCTGGGAACGCTTTTTTCCCCAAAAAGCTGCCAAGGAGGATCAGCCCTGACTGCAGTGTCACGTCCCAGCCGGCCCCAGGGATGGGATCCTGTGGATTTCCCGAGCTGCCTGTGGATCAGCCCCACGTGCTGCTCCCCCAGGACACTTGGAGAGCTTGTGGGAAGCCCTGGAGTCACCCCTGGCTCCCAACAGCACAGGGCTCCAATTGTTTAAATTCCAGGGATTTTTTGGCTGGACAGTTTTAACCCTTGGGAAAAAAAAAAAAAAAAAAAAAAAAAAAAAAAAAAAAAAAAAAAAAAAAAAAAAAAAAAAAAGCGGCTTTGCTCCTGCTTGGGACAGTTCCCGAGTCCTTGCAGACACCAGGAAACTCAGAGCAGAAAAACAAAAACAAAAATAAATGTGTGTTTGTGCCTCAGATAAAACAGCACAGGAAGGTCCCAAACGGCACTGGAATTTTAGGGGACACAGGATGGGGAGAGGAGCTGGACACTGCCAACCCCAGTAACAATGGGATGAGGAGCCAGTGACCCCAGTGACCCCAGGGATGATGGGCAGGGACATCCCAGTGTCCAATGTCCAGCCTGGCCTTGGATTTCCAGAGATCCAGGGGCAGCCTCAGCTGCTCTGGCAATTCCAGCCCAGCCAGCAGTTCCTTCCCAAACCCCACCTGAAAGGATGTCCCAGGTGCAGCCCCCATCCCTGCAGGGATTTCAAAGCCACGTGGATGTGGCACTTGGGGACATGGCCAGTGGTGGCCCTGGCACCACTCAATGGGCTCAGAGGGATTTTCCAGCCCAAATAAATCCGTGATTCCATGAGCTCCAGGGGGAATGGAGCAGCTTGCAGAGGGCTCAGCCCGGGGGTCTGTCCCAGCCCAGCCTTCCCTCAGGGTCCCTGGAGCTGCAGGGCAGGGATTGGGAAGAGCTCCCACTCCAGATGAGCAATGAGGGGAACAACCCCACGCTCCTGGATTGCCTGGAGGATCCCCAGAGCAGCACGTCCCGGGAATGTCCCAGGGACAATGAGGGGATCCCAAAGCGCTCCTGAGAGCTGTGACCGTGTCTGGAGGGCTGGGGGGACACCCAGACCCCAAACCTGGGATCCAGCCTCGGGCAGGGCACTGGGAAAGGCCTGGCCACGCTCCTGAGAGGGCTGTGGGCACTAAGGCTGCATCCATGTGGGGGAAACTAAATTAAAATTAAAGCATTAATGGTAAAAATACAGAAGGATGTTTTGCCACGGCTCCCCCAGGAGGCATTCCAGCATCCCAGCAGCTGATCCCAGCAAAGGAGGAGCCAGCACACTGATCCCACTGTTTCTGGAGAGTTCCAGAGCGGGACCCGCTCCGTCCTGGCCCAGGCAGAGCCCGTGGGATGTGTCCCTGTGTCACCCCCTGTCACCGCGGGTCCCCAGGCACTCACCAGCTCGATGCCCTGAGGGAAGGGGTTGTCCTCCCAGTCCTTCTCCGGGAAGCGCTGCAGGATCTGCCCCTGCCCATCCCCGCTCCCTGTGGAGACAAGGTGGGGTCAGAGGGCAGCGGGGACACCCGGGAATGGCAGGAACAACATCGGGGTGGGGCAGCACAGGACAGACCCCGGCCCTGCTCCTCATCCCCCTTTCCCAAACATTCCTGCCCGGGATTCAGCAGCTCCTGCCTCCCCGGGGCTTCCTGGAGCACTCCAAAGCCTCACTGCCCCCCGGCCCACACCACTGCACACCCCAAATCCCGCTGTTCCCCCTGCACAGCCGGGAAAGGGCTCAGCAGGGCGGGCTGTGGGACAGCCCGAGGTGACAGTGGCACCAGCTGCTCCTGTCACAGCCCCTGGCGGGCTGGGAAGGGCTCCCACACTGCCCACAGGCACAGCCACTCCTGCATCCACCTGGGAATCACAAACCTGGGATTCTGGCCCCGCCACCACGGCAGCTGGGGAGAGGGGACATATTCCAGCCCTGGGATCCCAGAGGGATCATCCCATTGCCAGGGACCACCCAGGAGCCGGGGCCTGGCCACGGAATGGGGCTGGGAATGCAGGAGGAGCACCAGGGAAGGGCTATTTTTGGAGCCCAGACGTGTCCCCAGGGTCCTGCTCACCACCAGCAGCCACAGCTGGATTTAGCAGGACCAGCAGAGGGAAAGGGAAAGGGAAAGGGGCCATTTATAGCCCTGGGCCCAAAATGGAAAGGCTGGAGCCAAACTGGGCACCAAATATCCACAGGGATTGGGTTAACAGGGATGGGGTCAACCAGATCCTGCCTGGCCACGTGCTCTGTCACCACGTCCCTTCTCTGCCACCACGGCCCTGCTCTGTCACCACGGCCCTGCTCTGCCACCACGTCCCTGCTCTGCCACCACGTCCCTGCTCTGTCACCACGACCCTGCTCTGCCACCACGGCCCTGCTCTGCCACCACGGCCCTGCTCTGCCACCACGGCCCTGCTCTGCCACCACGTCCCCCTGGACACAGCCCTGGGCAAAGGCTGCCCACTCCCAGCGCCAAGGGCTGAGCTCGAGCTCCAGACAGGAAAATCCCTTGAGATCCCCACGCCAGGATTACAGCTCTGACAGCTCCCAGCTGTGCCCTGCACACCCAGCCCTGCCACTGGAATACCCTGAGCTAAAGGGAAATGGATACAAGATCACAAAATCCTGGAATAGTTTGGGATAGAAGGGACCCCAGAGCCCCTGCAGTGCCAGCCCTGCCATG